TATTTTTTAAAAAAAGATTTTATTTAGGACGCCTGGGTGGCTCAGTCGTTAAGTGTCTGCCTTTGGCTCAGGTCATGATCCCAGGGTCCTGGGATCGAGCGCCCTGTCGGGCTCCCTGCTCCGCAGGAAGCCTGCTTCTCCCTCTCCCACTCCCCCTGCTTGTGTTCCCTTTCTCGCTGTGTTTCTCTCTCTGTCAAATAAATGGATAAAATCTAAAAAAAAAAAAAAAGGGGGTGATCTTTATATGGTATGGCCATAATTTTTTTAAAACAAAAACGTGTGTAATGTACATTGACTATGTACGTAAAAAAAATTTCCTCTAGGGGAGGAAAATGGGATGGGGACAGTGTAGGAGAATTTTTTTTAAGTTTACTCAGTTTTTTAATTTTAGATATATAGATCTATATATAGATCTATAGAGAGAGAGAGCATGGGTGGCTCAGTCCGTTAAGTGTCTGCCTTGGGCTCAGGTCATGATCCCAGGGCCCTGGGATTGAGTTCTGCATTAGGCTCCCTGCTCAGCAAGAAGTTTGCTTCTCCCTCTGCCTGCCGCTCCCCCTGCTTGTGCTCGCTCTCTCTCTGTCAAATAAATAAAATCTTTTTTTAATGGTAAATTTTACATTATGTATATTTTACAATAAAAAGGAATGCAAAAAAACTCCACCTCACTTTCAATACCTACCCCCCAAAATAATAATAAACACCTATGCAACTACTACTGTTTATCAACTCTTAACATGATCTTTTTTCTTTTATTATTTTTGTATGAAATGAAACATTATAGATTCCATTGAGTCTTCTCAATTTGTTTTGAGATTTATCCATGTTGGTACATGTGGCTCTGGGTCACTTACCTTAATTGCTGTGTTATCATTTATTGTAGGCATATATCACAGTTTGTTTATCCATGGACCTTTGGTTGTTTCCAGTTTTTCAATATTATATACAATGTTGTAGTCGATTCTTGTACCTTTCTCCTCCAGTGCATGGGAGACTTTCTCCAAAAGTAGATACAACTGGGTTTTAAGTACAACTATATTCAGCTTCTTAGGAATTGCTCTAAATTCTCTAATTGCTCAAATTGCTCTCCAAAAGGGTCCATAGCAATTTATACTCTCAGCAGGAGTTATGAGAGTTCCCATTTTTCTACATCTTCTATATAACTTGGCATTTATTCGACATTTTATATTTTGCCAATCTGAAGCAAGTAAAAAATCTCATTGTCATTTGATTTTGAATGGCCAGGGCGCCTGGGTGGCTCAGTCGGTTGGGCGGCTGCCTTTGGCTCGGGTCGTGGTCCCAGGCTCCTGGGATCGAGCCCCGCATCGGGCTCCCTGCTCGGCGGAGAGCCTGCTTCTCCCTCTCCCTCTGTCTGCCGCTCTGCCTACTTATGCTCTTTCTCTATCTCTGTTAAATAAATAAATAAAAATCTTTAAAAAAAAAAAAAAAAAGAATGATTTTGAATGGCCCTACTGTTATGAAACGTTTTACTGAAGGCTTTTATTGCTGGCTGCTTGGGCAGGTACTCCTGGTTACTCCCCGTATTTGTTTTCTTCTCCTTTTTTCAGTAAAACGATCCCTACATTTCAACTGGCCTCTTTGCCATTCGAAATAAAGACTATCTTTCGCACCATCACTTACAGCTGTATGTCGCTGCCTGATGAGGATTTTGCCCGTGGGACGGAGCAGAGATGGTGTACATACATTGAGGGAAGTGTCAAAGGGAGGAACAGGTTCTTTTCCTTTCCTGTTTTCATTCCTCCTGGCTGGGATGCAGATATGATGGATGCAGCTGGAGCAGTCATCTTGGACATGAAGTGAACTTGAGAACAGAGACCGTGCATGGCAGAGGACGAGGTTAGAAGGAGCGTGGGTCCCCAGCCAGTGATGCAGCACACCAGCCTGGGACTGCCCATGCAGCTGTGTGCGTGATGGAGAGCTAGACTTCTGTGTTTCTTCA